AAGAGAGCTTGAGGATAATCCCAGCCTTAAGTCTGATATGTAGCTTACGTATGGCTACAGTGAAGTAGAAATTATAAAGGGCCGATTTCAACTTGGATTTTATGAAAATCAGATCAGGAATCAGGACGACGACCAGAAGTGGATTTGCCTGTTCTCATCAGAACTGAGCCATCATTTGCGACCGTTACTAAGGAAATGGAATATCAAAGTGAGAAGAAAGATGAAGAAAACACTTTTCACCAGTCTGCCGACGCAATACGAAAAGACGGACAAACTTGAATACTCGGGAGTTTATCGCATCAAATGCGGAAACTCTTAGCAGAAGTATATTTGAGAAACAGGAAGAAAATTCGGCCAACGAATCAAGAACATCAAAGACTATGTAGGAACATAGATACGAAAAGATCCAAATAAGGGAACACATTGGACGAACGGGGCACGAAACCGACTGGAAATCGACCGAAAGGTTGGCTGCATGTGGTGAAGATACAAGAAAACGCAGGATCCGAGAGGCCATCGAAATACTGACGGAGAGAGATCTAATGAACAGAAGACTTGAAGAAAGCAGGATAAGCGAAAACTTTGCATATTGCCTAAATAAAGTCGGAGAAGACCAGGCAACAGCAAGATCAGCAAAAAGAAGACGAGTGTATCAAGGTAGCATCCTTAATTTTAGGAAAAGAAATCGCAAAGGAATGAGAAAGGAAGAATCAGAAGCAAAGAGGTGACGTCTTTAGTGAGTATAATCAAAGCAAGTAGAACCATGACAATTGTGGGTTTGTCCACAAGATACTAGGACATAGGAATTGATAGACATGGTATTATAGATAGAAACAGGAAAGACGCGGTGGAGACTAGAGCTATTTGGCTAAGAATATACGTGCTTTACCATAGACGGGGTCCATGTAGCAAGGGCTTGATCATGAGACTTACTCAGAGGTTTTGGCCTTGAATTAGTCGCCCAGACGCAGGGGAGGTGTAATAACGCCTCGAGTAGCACAGATGAAGGGGCAGGAGTCGAGTGAAATACTTGAACCGGGGAGATAGCAGATGGATCCTACGGGGCAAGAGGGAGATTCTGATAAGACCTAGGGAAAGAGGACCGCGTAACAATATGACAGATTCTGATCAACATTCCTAGTATAAGAATGAAGAGGAGTGATAACGCCAGTGTGGAGTGTTGAAGGTTCTCAGAAAAGCCACTAAAAAAAGGGCACACAACACTAGATTTAAATAAGCAAGGAAAAAGAAAAAATATATAGTGATAGTGAAGGCGTGATAAGAGGATACATGAGAGAAGGAGAGATACTACAACTGTTTAGCACACATTTGGTCAAAGGATCGGCTTTACCTGTCTCTTTGACGAGTTGTAGTGTGGTGCTAAGAATGATAAGACTCACTGACGATGTCGGCAAAACGTCTGGGGATGTACCACGTCCACATTGCGACTTTGGAAATGATTATGCGTACAATAGACTCCGGACTAGGTGAGCTCCTCTAAGTCATCGTACGAACGAGACCAAGTTGCGAAAACCAGGTCAAACAACTTCTTGTGGAAGTTCACTACTGACTTGGATGGCAAATATGAAAAGAAACTGTTTTAATAGATCTCCATATTAACAATTTTTGGAATGGCTTCCATTCCCCGCTAAAGTAAAATTTATACGAATTTATGCAAGAGCAACTTACCAGCCAGCACTTTACCACATGTAATGTATTGCTCAATTTTTGAGTAAGTTTTGAGTAAAATCAGCTACATATTTCTTTATGACACTTCAGTTTTGATTATGGCATGCACAAGTTGTATTAGTCACCACTGCATTTTATGCATCTTCCTACACAAAATCCGAGAAATTCATCAATTAGTTCAGCCCTATTGCCGAAAAGGCCTTCTAAATTGCAATTTATACACTCGTACTCTTAAAACGAATATAAATATGAGCATTATTCTTGTACCATCATTGATACCAGGCACTGATATAATCAACTAGTATCATCCAAGCAAACATGCTGAGCATCATTAAAGCTGCGATCTTTTTTCTCTTTTGATTGGCTATGCAGGATCAGAAACGATACGCGATTCCTGTCACTGATACTTTGAAGGCGATGCTGTCTACTGGCTGGACTATCGACACTGAGGACGTGAGACACGATGTCAGCGAGCATCTGGCCAGAAGAAGGGCTGCTATTGCAGTGAGCCATTAACAATTATTTTCTTGTTGCTTGGGCTTCAAATATTATCTTTCATTTTAATATTAAGCTTTTTTGTTTGTCTGCTTCAAGGCTTTAATTTAATTTTCTCCCCATTGTGGTTTTATTCGAGTTAAAGGTGGATTTATGTTTGCCCAGATCCATGCTAGATGGTGGCGTGTGGTGAATAAGTTACATGGGCTTTGGGCAAACAATTCATTTTGTTACTTTTATGTACCAAAATTAGGTTATTAAAAGCTGAGAGACAATAGCTTTTTTTTCTTTGCGGCCGGCTTCATAGGCATTTTATCTTATTTGAAATGTGTGTGATACGTGTGATATTGCAACATCTATCGAAAAATTTAGAAATAAATTTGTATCACGCAAGAAAAAATTAAATCACGATACATGGTTCTCAGAGCTTTAGGAATTTATCTGCGTTCTTGGATTTTTGGTAGCTCATGTCTAGTCTGACTGAATCTGTCCAATTGTCACAGCAATTACTAGACTTGAGAATCTACTGCATAGTCAGAGTCTACTATATGAATTACAAAATTTTTTAATCATTTTATAATATAATAAGGCATTTCGTGAAAAATCCTAGAGGGTTAATTATATGTTACCTGTATTTATTATCACGTGATTATACTAGTTTCCCTCACCAGCAATACTATTTATCTTTCTTTGTTATTTTTATATTCATTAACCTTCCAGATACTGGTTTTATACTACCTGTGTTGTCAAAGCTGGCTACGTATTTTCCTAAATTCTTCAATGAGCAGGATATTATAATCAGCGGAAATTGTCTCATTGCCTAAAAATCTTGCTATCCCATCCGTGAATGCTGTTGACATCTTGGGAACCCTAGCAAATCGAGCCATAGCTATTAAGTATAAAGAGAATCCCTTACTAATTTCATGTTTTAATAC